CCTCGACATACTTACAGTTTAACAAATCAAATAACGGAATCCTAGACGTTATTCATTAATGTCCCAGTCAAATAAATTATAGATGTTGTCTGACATAACATATACCATGAAACTTCATTCCCATCTACTCATATAAGGCCAACTATTCTGCAAAAACTTATTCTATAACAAATACCATTTTACGACCACTATGGTAGCACACACACATATAGATATACATAGATACATATACATATTTTAATAAATTTCTGTTTATACGTTATTTTTATAGATACAAATATTTAAGTAAATGCACTGTTTATAATAAACAGTATTAACTACGTTTACCGGCCTGAATAACCGGGAAATTTCGTAGAAAATATGTCCATTTCATAATCTATGTTGTAATTTGTACATTAAGATACGCTTCGAGCAGATATGATCGTTCGAGACATATTTGTTATTTAAAATCAGTAATTTGACTTCGCTGACAAGATGCTTCCTCTGTAGCTAAATAGCATAGCACTCCGGACCAAAATGACGGTTAAGTGTACGATATAGGTTCGATTCCTGTCAGAGGGCATATTTTCTACTTTTTTTTCAGACATTCAGGTCGGTAAGTGTAGTTAATAGTGTTTATTATAAACATAATATTTACTTAGATATTTGTATCTATACAAATGACGTATAAACAGAACATATATTAAAATAAATGTCGGACTTTGTCCATTTCATAATGCATACACACACACACACACACACACACATATATATATATATATATATATATATATATATATATATATGCATTAAATGACATGATCTTCAGGAGAGAGAGGGTTAGGAATTTCCGCGGCATTTTTTGATATCTTGGAACTGTCATAACTTCTTTGGAATGATAGTAGTATAGATTCATCCTTACTTTATTTCCACAGTTTTCAATTCAAAGTTGGCCTTCTCCTAGAGTGGCCACCACCCATGGCTTGAGAGTGAAGTCTACCTTTTTATTTAACCCATAGATAGTAGAGGCGAGGAAGAAGATATACATTCATGCCTAGAAAGCGTTTGTGCAGAAATTACCGTAACCGACGAGGGGATATTTGAACTAGAATCGCTGAATCTACTTTCCGCGCCAATAACTGTTACAAGACGCGCCACACCACACACACACACACACACACATATATATATATATATATATATATATATATATATATATATATATATATATGTGTGTGTGTGTGTGTGTGTGTGTGTGTGTGTGTGTGTGAACTAAAAGAATAATAGACCAACTTATATCTAGATTACCGATGCAAGCATTTCACGTGGCGAAGAAAGGTGCAAATAACATAAATATATAAAAATATGTAGATAGCGTTTTACTTAACTAAAATAACCATAACTTCTTAATATATATATATATATATATATATATATATATATATATATATATATATATATATATATATATATATATATATATATATATCTATATATATATATATATATATATATATATATGTGTGTGTGTGTGTGTGTGTGTGTGTAGACTAATCGATGCGTCCTCTATGTAAAAAAACAACAAAAAAAAAAAACAAAAAACAAAAGTGCTTTCAAAACCAAATCTAATAAAAAGAAAAAAAAAGTGTTACAAGAAAAAAATTAGGGGTCTAATTGTATGACTGATACACTCTAACATTCAATCGTTTTATCTGTCCCCGACCCAAACATGGTTCCTCCCCGATCCTCTTGAATGTGACGCACACCCAAGCATCCTTCTTCACCCTTCCCCTGCTGTTAGGGGCCCCGGCTTCCTTGCTGAGACCTTCCGCAAGCTCGCTCGGCACTAGGTATTATATTCATCCATTATGTCAAATAGCACCCCACCTCGAATCTCAACCCTTCCCAAACTAACAACCCTGGGTACCCCCACTCCCTTGCAGTATTTAGACCCAACCCTTAACCTTTCCTTCGTATCTCTGCCCCATCATAAGATATTTATTTTTTATTTGTCCTTTGCCTTTTTAACTCTGAAAGATTTAAAAAATTAGTTTTTTTTTTCAACTTGCAAGTACTGCGTTTTTGCTTAGTTTCCAAACAGCTTTTGGCGTCATCTTTCATGATTAATGATCAATCAGTCGATTTTGATTTGTTCAAAGCCATTTTTAACTTTACAAATAGATCATAAAATGTGCATTTACGGGCCTATCAGATCACTAATAGATTTTCTCGTACCTGTTAATTTTGGTGCATTAATAATAATAATAATAATAGTAATAATAATAATAATAATATAAAAAAGTTGGGCAATATATCAGTAGTGCCAGTCGTTATCGCAACAATAGGAATGGTCATGAAGTGCGGGAAAAACATGTAGAATACCAAGAAAAGTGCCGGAGGAGACTTGCTGTCACTTAATCTCATTCATAATAGTAATAAAAAATAAGAAGAAGAAGAAGAAGAAGAATAAGAATAAGAAGAAGAAGAAGAAGAAGAAGAAGAAGAAGAAGAAGAAGAAGAAGAAATGCAGCAATAATAAAATACACTGAGAATTAGTGTTCCAGAGGCCCCATTCCATCCAAATTAGTTGACAAAATCTGATTGTTGTGAACAAAGATGTAATAATAATAATGGTTATATTACTATAATTGGTTTAGTTTGGATAATTGAAAAAAATTTGCATGATTTCAATTTTTCTATTCATTTAACGTCCGTATAACCGAAATCCAGAATATTGAGGAAGTGTCATTGTATATATTAACAACCTAGGTACTGAAACTTTTATGCTTATTAAGCTATAATAATAATAATAATGGTAATAATAATAATAATAATAATAATAATAATAATAATAATAATAATCTTTTGATAATAATAATATTATTATTAATCTTTTAATAATAATAATAATAATAATCTTTTAATAATAATAATAATGATAATAATATTAATCGTTTAATAATAATAATAGTAATCTTTTAATAATAATAATAATAACAATATTATTATTAATTTTTAATAATAATAATAATAGTATTAACCTTTTAATAATAATAATAATAATAATATTAATCTTTTAATAATAATAATAATAATAATAATAATAATAATAATAATAATAATCTAGGGACTTCACTTCTGTTTTCGTACGGGAACCGGTGTTTCAACGTAATGTGGCCGTAAGCCCTGGAAACTATCAGTTATAATAATAATAATAATAATAAGAAGAAGAAGAAGAAGAAGAAGAAGAAGAAGAAGAAGAAGAAGAAGAAGAAGAAGAAGAAGAAGAAGAAGAAGAAGAAGATATAAAACGAAAAATAGTTACCTGCTTCATGTTCAACATTAAAGAGACGACTACTCTCACTAGTACTTGAATGAAAATCAGATTATAGCTTAATAAGCATAACAGATTGAGTAAATATTTTGTCAACATATGCAATAATACTTGCTCGATTATCCGTAGCTCGATTTTCTGGATTTCGGTTATCCGGACGTGAAATAAAGAGAAAAACTGAAATCATGCGAACATCTTTTTTTCAATTATCTCAACTAAACCCATTCTAATATTTCATTTCAGACAATTTAGAAAAAAAAAACATGCACAACGTTTGATAGAATCAGTTCAACTAATTCTTGTTAATTTCTTCGTTGTTTTGCTGCAAAGAACATACAAATGCATCAACTTTATTCCAGCTTCAGAAAAAAAAATGAAAGGCCAGCAGGAAACAGAATAAACTTGACGGATTCTTTTTTTCATAAAAAATAAACTGAACAAAACCTTGAAAAATGGTGTTTAATGATATCAGTTATGGGCCATACGTGATACACACTTAGGCGATCATGTAGCTTTCGATATATGACTGACGATGTAGATTTTTTCCCGCAGTAGGTTGCCATTTCTTTCTGAGGTAGACCAGTTGCCATTCAAGGTCTGTCCTGATATTTACCCATAGCTGGAGGAAGGGAAGAAGATTCATACCTTTCCGAAGGGTATTAACACGTAAGTGAATATAATGGTTGTCGACTAGAATTCGAACTCAGCTCTCCGATTCCTCAATCCGAGCCGCTATCCATTACTCCAGCGTATTTCTTTCAGAAAACGAGTTTTTTCTTCATTCTTTTACAGTCATTTTGGTATTCAATTATCCGGATTTTGAATTACCCGAAACTATTTTCTCAAAACCCTTCTCCTAAGATCTCCGGATAATCGAGGTAGTCCAGTAATAGGCTTCTTCAGAGTGATTTCTTTTTTAATATCTTCATCTTTAAGATTTTCATCTTCTTAAATATCTTCTTCTTCTTCAATAACTTCATCTTCTTTAACATCGACATCTTTTTTAATATTTTCATTTTCCTTAATGTATTCATCTTTAATATATTCCTATTCTTCAACGAGCTCATTGTCAGGTTGAAAATTGCACCATGATGCGTATATTTATTACACTTTCCTGTTTTTATTCATTCGTTTACGTTTAATAACTTACACCTTTCTTTTGTCATCTTTCTTATAATTTTCGTCACAAATTGGCCGAGAAAATAAACAGCTATGAAATTTCATGAAATTATAGCGAGTTTTTTTTAATTATTTTTTTTTCTTTTTTAGCAAGAATTAATATTACGAAGTTAAGACTTAAAATAATATCTGTACATTTTTTCTTCTTATTTCTTTTAAACTTTCCCTCTTGCGAAATTCGTCATGCAGGGCACCAAAAGTTCCAATTTTATTATTTTAACGCTGTTTGCAGGTTGGGATGAATCACTACCACACCTGTCCCAACCCCACCGCCAACATGGAATTTTCATCATCACTTATAACTTCAGGGAACAGACGGAATAATTATAGAAAATATAAATATATGTGAAAAATACTTTCGATAATTTTTCTAAGAGTCATCATCATCACAAAAGATACTCGGACTGTTATTTTATTCTTTAACTTACTATTCAGCCGATCCATTCTACAGCCTTCTTCAGGTGTACAACTTCTAAGGAACCAGAAGTATCACTTTTCTTTCTAGCTTCCGGCCACATCACGTTAAAACACCCGTTCCCGTAAGATCACCGAAGTTAAGCAACATCGAGTCTGCTGAATACCTAGATGGGTGAACGCTTGGACGTACCAGGTGCGGGCGGTAAGCTCGAGTGTGCGGGTGGTTTAATGGATAATGGCTCGGAATTATTAATTGGAGAGCCGAGTTCTAATTCCCTTTGGTTTCGTTATATTCACACGCGCAAAAGGAAACTCCACTTGTTCTCCCTCAGCTGCGGTTTAATTCAGTCAGTTATGTGCAATGCGTGATACACGCTTAGGCGATCATGTATCTTTCGATACGAGACGAGGCAGATTTTTTTACCCGCTGTAGACCAGTAGAACCCGGTCTGTCCTGCTATTTACCCATGACTGGGAGAGAGAAGAGGATTCATACCTTTCCCAAGGGTATTAGCACGTAAGTGAATGTAATAGATTCGACTGGAATTCGAACTCGGTTCTCCGATTCTTCAATCCGAGCCGCTATCCATTACTCCTCCTACTTGTACCACTAAACCGTTATTATCTCTGGCTTTAAATAACCTCCAAAGGGTTGATAAACCGTCGAAAATGAATAAATCATCAAAATCTTCTCTTTCGAAAATGGTGGCTATAAGCTTTGTCAAAGAAAGAGAAAATCATCGAACAGGGTTGTTAATTGCAATTTGCACTTGGGAAGGTTATAAATCCAGTATTTCTCTTCCCCCAACTATGGGTTAAATGGCAGCGCAAATTGGACTCTCTAGTCAGGGTTGGCGACTAGTTTAGAAAAACAATTTTTGAATTCATAATTGTGTAATAAATAAACGGAGCATCTACTCAAATACAAGTATCCACTAAAAATAACGTTTAAATGATAAAGTCTCTCGGATTAATAAATAGAAAGATCTGTTACTTCTTTATATATATATATATATATATATATATATATGTATGTATGTATGTATGTATGTATGTATGTATTAGGAAAAAGGAGAGGAAAAGGGGCCCAAAATTTTGGTCTTTGTTTTCAAAGAAATAAAATTCACTGAAGTTAGAAGTTATTATTTCATACCAGTTTTCTTATTTTGTTGTTTAAACTTTTTCCTCGGAAGAATTGAGAAGCAGATATTTTGAAACGTTTTTGGTGATCATTACTAGTGTTATGTGATAATCGATACCTTTCAAATTGATCTTTACGATTCCAGGAAACTTAAATGTTTATTTGTTTATTTTACGCATCCTTGAGAATGCAATAATTTTTAATAAAATGTCTGTGTGATGTTTTGTCTTGAAATGGTCAGGGACGTGGCTCATCAAATAAACACATCAGCTCTGGAAGTAGCCAACACACGGGTCACACGAAAGGACGTACGCCCAGACATTGAGAAACGTTTCATATCTTATATATGCTGTAATTAGCGTTACCTATGCCAAATTTGACACCCATGAGTAAAAGTGTTATTTTGCCATTTATTTATTCGGTGTGTACAAAAGTTCCGAACATTTTTTTTTAACTAGAACAAATATACAGCAAAAAAGGATAAAGGATTTGTTTTAAAAATAATAAACACTGGAAACATTTTCACGCATCTGAGAGAGGCTACGTTTGTCTATATCTATCTATCTATCTATCTATCTATCTATCTATCTATCTATCTATCTATCTCAGTCTGTTCAGTATCTATCTGTCTCAGTCGGTTCATATCTATCTATCTATCTATCTATCTATCTATCTATCTATCTAGCTAGCTAGCTAGACAGACCGTCTACATTCATATGTAATGTTTTGACAATGAATTACTTTTTTCAAAATCTGACATTATTTCTTATTCCTATAAATGTTATATTTACTGGGAACACGTGTTTGAGTAGACATCCCATTTTTTAAAATTAATGTCTACCAGCCTAGAGATCGAAAGTCCTACTAAAGAAACTGTTTGTACCTATCGAGAAATCATTCGATCTCAAGGCCATCAGACATTAATTTTAGCTTAAAAAAGCGCTTATTTCTGACACACGTGTTCTTACTAAATATCACGTATGGTATGAAATATATAAGAAATACATACTCATTTCTTCGTATTGATACATGTTTGAATGTTTTTTCATGGTGTGTGTGTGTGTGCGTGTGTCTGTGTGCGAGAGAAAAAGAGGGGCTGAGAAAGAGACATTTTTCTGTTTCTACATGTTTAATTGTAATGTTAGGCCCATGTCTTTGATTGTTTCTTGTGGTCCTAATAAAATTTTCTTGATAACACAGGCATTGGCATTTTCTGTCCGAAATTCATTTTCAAATTCCCCCCAAAATAGTTTCTTTAGTAGGACTTTCGATCTGGATAACAAGAGTCATGCTCTCTTGTTACCCTGATTTTTTTGTCTCTGCTCAAGATTAATAGTTTTCCTTATCTCAGGGTTGTTAAAGACAATTTTTATCTATTTTTCTTATATTTTATTCCTTAGGTATACCATCGAAAAATACCCTGACCTCTACTGCTAATAATTATAAAAAATTTTTTTTAAGGCAATTCACCCCAAGCAAGGCGGGAGTGCCACTAGCACGCAAGGGGTTACAGAGGCTTGAGAACAAGAGTAAAGAGGTGTGTTTGAGGAAAGGATACAGAGAAGGACGGGGAACAAGCTCAGGGTGTCAGATGTCAATTGACATTATACTTGAATATTTGAAGATTATAGTCATCGGGGAAGCAAATAAGGGGAAGGGAGTTCCACAGACGGGAAGTGCAGGAGAAGAAGCTGTTTGAGAAGATGAGACGGTTTCATTTAACCGTTTTGATAGTGAAAGGGTGGAACCGAGATGCCAGCCTGGTAGCACGTTTAAATTCATGTAGACCAAGACCCAGCGAAAGTAGGTCGTCAGAACAATTGCCGTGAAAATACAGACAGAGGGGGGCCACAACACTTCTGTGGGATAGCAATTGTAGGCTAGATGCCAGATCAGGACCTATCAGATTGCATATTCTTCTCTGGATTTTGTCGAGGACATCGAGTCGTACAGCTGAAGCACCAGACCATATATGACAGCAATATTCCATGCAAGGACGGATGGTTGATTTATAGATACGAAGGATGGACTCAGACGAGAGAAGAAAAAAAAAGAAGAAAGAAATAACATTTTTAAACTCTGAAAATCGCACATTAAACTAGGGTCTTTCAAATTTTTTAAACCATCAACCCCTTCAGGATAACCTTGATCCCTCAACTCCCAGCTATGTGTAAAAAATATATCAATAACAATTATTTTATATTTAAGGGGAGATAATTCATTTGCCGTTTTCCTTCATTTTCGTTTTTCGATCTTGTTTTACGTTTTTTCTTCCTTTTATTTTAAATATCATTTCACCCCAAGGAAGGCGTTGATGTCTTTAGGATGCAAGGGGTTGGTGGGAGTTGAAGAGAATGGGAAGGACAATAAAATAACAGGTATTAGAAAGACAAAAGATGATGATCAGCGTTGCATTTAAATTTTTGAAGATTGTAGTTGACAGGGAAGCAAGAAATCGGAAGGGAGTTCCACAGGTGGGAAGAGCGAGAAAAGGAACTATTAGAATAGAACGTGCGGTTGCATCTAGCTAGTTCAAAAGTAAAACGGTGAAATTGTTGGATTTTAGCCGTAAATCAACATGATATTTATCAACCTTCTTTTGATCCCAGGCATTTATCAATTCCCGACAATTTAGCGATCATCTGGATAGTCCCATCGACTTCTAGGGGTCGATATCAACCACTATGTGAACACCTGTCTTAAAGCTCAATTCCTGTTCTTTGTTCTTTGTTCTGTTGAGATATATACCTAACACGAATCATCTTTTTAATTATTTACTTAACTCTTATGTAATATCAGTCCTCTATTATGGCAGTGAATATTCGACAATCTCCTCATAGAAGAAGAGGTAACAGAAATATGGTGCTAGAGAAAGATGCTGAGGATGCCATGGACTGAACATGCGAGCAGTGAGGAAGTTGTAGAGAAAACTGTAACAAAATGGACGTTTGCAATTAACTCGAGAAAGCGACAGATGAAATTTCTAGGGTGCATTATGGGGGAAACAGAAAATTTGAAAATAGAGTATTTTATAAACATGCAAATAAAAAGTAACTGAAGAGCAACCTCATTTTTTGAACGTCTCACATGTCGAACAAATCGGTTTTCGAATAGAAAATTCGAGATGAAATTGCCTTGGTTATCAAACAAAATTTTGGTTCTCAAACAAGATTGCCAAATCGAGCCGAACCGATTTAACCCGAACGGAATCATTTCTTAATCGACCGCCATGTTGTATACATTCGTGTGTTGTGCCGTGCTTTTCTTTTCTAATTTTATTGTACTGTACCATTTTTTCTCTTCATTAGTCTTCAGTCATTGCCCCAAAGAAAGCTAGCAGTGATATTGGTAAAGGAAAAAGAAAAGTTAAGAGAAAAACAATTGTTGATGATATTGTCTCTATGATGGTGATATTGTCTCTTCCTACTCAGTTTAATATGGCAAAATCAATGATCTATACTATTCTTATAAATAAAGAGATCATGTCTTTCCTTCCCTTTTCCAAACAATAACAACTTTTTCCTTCCCCTTCTTCTTACGCCATCAACTCACCTACATGCAGTTACGGTAAAATTAAAGTGTTCATCTATATTTTATCTGTTTAGTATTTTCAATAGTTTTGTGTATAAACTTGTGCACAAAGTACTGTTGTTAAAGTTTAAATAAGCAGTCATCTTCGGACCAAGAGCAGATTAATCCATTTTACATTGGTTCCTGTTGGGAAAATAGTTTTAGTTTACGAGCACTTCGGGTTACGAACGGGCTTCAGAGGCGAATTAAACTGTATTTTAAAAGCATCAACATTTTTACCAGTGCTTGCTCTACCAACTCGGAAACCTAAAAGGCTAACCTTCTAACCACTCGGCCATTCCGATCACGAGACATGTGAATTTGGTGACGTTATACAACATGCGTTTTTCATCATATTGTTAATAAATATGGTTAGACGATAAACTACATCCAGCAGCAAAGGCTTCTGATCAGGAGGTTTTGAGAAGTGTGGAACCACCTCTTAATTGCTGGTGTTCCCAAGTCCAACTTGACTTATTAGGATCCC